TGGTCTCCCGACATCTGACAGTTCTGTATCCCCCATGGAGTACGACGTGTAAGACCTCTGACAGAGGTGCATTACCGCGCTTTTCTTGGAATTAATTTCCAGACTCCACAGGTAAGCCCATTCGGCTAATTTGTCTAGATCGTCTTGTAGTACCAACCTATCATCGGTTTTTCATATCTTAATATCGTCCGCAAATAGTAAGGAAGATGAAGTAAGAATTTTCGGCACTTCATTTACGTATAATAGGAATAGCAGGGAGCCAAGTGAAGTTGCCTGAGGTACTTCACTTAGTACTGCTCTCCACCCTGACAGTACACCATTAACCCCCACCTTCTGCCTCCTATCCATCAGGTAGTCACTAAACCACTCACATAAGCGCTGGTCTAATCCCAAACATTTGAGTTTACTAAGAAGACCTAAATGGGTTACCTTATCAAATGCTTTACTAAGATCGATAAGGACAACGTCCAGTAGATGGTTTTCATCCCTGGCCTCGACCCAGTCTTCCCTAGCTAACAGTAAGTTTTTCAAACAGAATCGTCCTGGTCGGAATCCATGCTGTTCCGCTGCCAGTAAGCCATGTTTTTCCATATGAGCTGAGAGCTGATCTCTTATGTGTTTTTCTAACAGCTTTGCTATCAGGCAGGTCAGACTTACGGGCCGGTAGTTACATACTGACTGCCTGTCCCCATCTTTGAAGACTGGACTTTAAAGGCATCTTCCCAGTCCCTGGATAGCCTAACCTGGGTCAAAGACATCTGAAAATCTCCGTAAGTGGAATGTATATTATATTCGCCAAGGAGATTGGCAATCTAGGGTGAAGTCAATCCGGTCCAGGTGATTTACCTGACTTCAGCTTAGACAGAGGTTATCAGAACCATTGCATCATCTTTCACAATTGATGGCATTTTAGGGACTACATCAGTTACCTCGCTACACCCCTGAGCGCTACGATTAGGCGAGAAAACATCACTAAAGTATTCAGACAGCTTCTGAGCTTTTGTTTCGTGTGACTCAACAGCATCCCCTGTGTTGCTAATGAGGGACGGTATACCACTACCAATTTTAATCCTGCGTTTGATACACGAGTACATTCTTTTTCGATAATGTACACAATCCAGTACTAACTGCCTTTCACACTCTATATGACTTTTATCAATCTCATACTAACAAAGGTTTTGAACTTTGCGGTATTCCATCCGAAACTCATCCCTCACGGTCACAACAAGCCGGTCCCTTAAGTTCTCTGTTTTTTAATAACCTTCTTATTTCATTACTAATCCAAGGTCGTTTATGAAATAGTTTTCGAGGCATAAACCAATGTATAAAGGGCGCAGTGACGCACCCTAGTGTATTCCTAAATCACATCGAGGCCTCCTTGACAATCCGGTGTGCATTAACAGACCAGTCAGCTAGGGTTGCTGCATTTCGTATTGCAGGTATGTTCGCTTTCCAAACGTTTGAGCGAGCAGCTGTTGACCTATGTATGACAGCATGAATCTTATACATAAAAGTGACAACTATGTGGTTACTACTACCTAAGGGAGTCAGGTAATTAATGTAACCGATGCCCTCCTTCTGGTTTGCTAGCACCAAGTCTAGGGTCGATGGATCACGTTCAGGATGGTGCCGTGTCGGTGCATCTATATGCTGAACAAGTGCACATCCAAGTACTGTCAGTATGGGTTCCCTGTTGAAAAAATGGTACGAAGTAGCTGATGTTAATTCCTCCCACTTAATATGTGGGGCATTAAAACCGCCTACTATAAGACGCCTATTCTTTGTACTCCACAACCTCAAGTGATTTAGAACTAAGTCGTCAGTTTGGCTGGTAGGACTTCTATAAATAACCCCAGTCATCACAATGCCTTTGTTCAATTTATTGACACAACCTGGGGCTTCACAGGCACCGCTGTCATGAGCTTCCGACAACGGCGATCTAATTCCTATGTCATCCTGGATGCATAGAGCAACCCCCACCCTTCCGACTACTTACTCTGTCTGCCCTAATGCAGATGTACCCAGGTATGAGTGGAGACAAGTCTATAGCCACTAACAACCATGTTTCGGCGATAGCAATCACATCCGGCTGTAGTTCCTCGGACAACACTCCTAGTTCAGGAGGCCTATCCCTAAGACTACAAGCGTTCGTGTAGCATACTGAGAGACCTATGTGTTCACTCGACTTATGAACAGAGGTATAAGCAACATGGGTTTCCGAGACCTCACTACCCGAAAACACAACAGTGTGAGGTCTTTTCCACCATTTTCTAATAGGGCCTTTAATTCAACCATGGCCTCTCTTCTCCTAATTCCGTCTTCCAGAGGCCAGTCTGGCCTAACTCACACCTTCCCTGTCATTGATCTTGAATGTGTTATTGAAAATAAAACACTTTTCTCCATTGCATTCCCCAGTACCAACTTCAGCAGTCGTGGGGAGCTTTCCGTTGCATCGGCGATTCGTTTACCGATTCTGATGACTTTCCTTATGTGGACTCCATTTGTCTTTCTGGAAGTATTTCACGGATAATGAAACTAACTATCTCGAGATGATCAGCATGTCGAGCAGCTGGATCTACATTCTTCCATACCTCCGAGTTCCAAATTACTATACTGTAATTTGAGTCAGAAATTTTAACAATCTTATCAGTGTTTACAGCCATTGAGACCTTATCACTAAGCGTAGTTCTTTTCTCCCCCATGTAGTCCTTGAGCTCCTTATTTTTCGGCACTAATCAAATGAAATCAGTTAATTCCACTTCACTCTCGCCGCAGTTGGAAGCTGTGCGTTCACGCAACGCTTCATCGTTGTGGTGTCACCCTGCTGTCTTACAGTGTTGACATGTTTGCCTTCCTAGATTTCCGGGGGCTTTTTGTATGCTGTTGCAGACTTCTGGGCACACTTTACCTCTGTAACGTCTTTCGAAGCTATGGGATGTGGCTTTGTTCCAGTCTTATGACTCGGGCCAGAATCCCTAATTATGACATCAGTACTAGATGCTGCCTTTTTCCCCTAATCAGAGGTTTTGTTGATTTATTGGACATGAGAAGTCCTACGGCCTCTTGGATGAGGACGTCCAACGGGTTAGTACAAAATACACACACCCACGGGGATGATGGTTTGCTGCACTCCTATAGGTTGATGGGGATTAGCTAGTGCCAAACTTTATGGAACAATAGGTTGCAGTTATGGGAGAAAATGTTGCCTGAATACAAATTTTTTATAATAATAATGTGTATTCTCATATAAACATATAAATTTACATGAGAATGCATGCCGTTTGTTTCAGATTAAATAATAAAATTCTTACTTTTTGGATGTTTGTGTTATTAGAGGGTTATACTGAGATTTCAATACTGGCTCTGAGATATCCATACCGTTGGGGCGTCATTCTCTCATCAACATTACTCACAGATCAACTTCACACAGAATACGTCTACATCAAAGGAAGTTTTGAGAATGTGTTAGTTAGAAATTAATCCACATTAACGTATATGTCTATTGAACATGGTTACGTTCTCATATGTGGGAAACTACAATCGTCAAATATAAGCTGAGAAAGTCTCAACTATAAACAGCTATGCACAGTGTTAACAACATAAAGAAACACTTAAAATATTCTAAGATGCACAGAGATGTTGTGTTGATTAGGAAGACATTACCATATAACTCAACCAAGACATTCAATCATGCTATAGCACCTATACTGCTTCATGTAAATGGAAAATTAAGGAGGGATAAATCTCCAATATTGATGAATAAAAATATTGCAGCATTCAGTATACAGTTTCAGTGGAAACGATATAACACACATTAGCCAAGTTTACTTTAATGCTAAATTAAATCTCACCAATTCTGAAATAATTCTAACATTCTATAGTGAGTAAATTCTGAATGTGTTCTGAAATGGATTCTTTAGTGGCAGAGATTAGAACTCAGTTGTCAATGTCCAGCTATTACTGCTCCGGACCTCACGCTGTCCCTCGAAGACTTTTTGAAACAATTTGTAATAACCAACGCGAAAAACCAGAACACATATTGGTGACTCGAGAATCCTTTATTCTTACGCCAATATGTAACCAACAATAAGGTTATGATAAACAAGGTCCAAGGATAAATATTATAACAATAAACCACGATAATACTTCTGATAGTTTTCTGTCCTCCACTGAACAGCGAATGATGAGACGATGACTGCCTGATTGATGACCCGCGAAAAATATGGGGAACCATGAATTGATCGTTCGATCTTCAACCACATTGACATCAGTGCTGGTTTTCAGAATGACTGTCACTAATTCATCACCGTGTTTTTTTTCTGGGTATTTCTAGAAGTATATCAGAACCAACTGCGTTAGCCTATCAGCGCTGTTCCAGACCTCATAGGACATATTAAGCACGACCAGCGTTATTTCAGAACAGCGTATGTAGATAAAATCTTCATTTACCTTAAAATGAAGAATAGGGTAGAATAAGTTTAGACTTGTTATGAGCTTGGGGGATTAGCAGTGACATTTTACTACAGTTTTTAGATACAAAATTCTCTCAATTATTAAACTGATTCCCTTCTGAAAACTAAATAAATTGCGCTAGCATAGGACACAGGCGATGATAAGTAGCAGAAGTCTTTTCGTTTCAAAGTAATGCTAGTCAGTGCTGAATATAGGCTGAAAAAATTGTCACTATGTGCTGAATTAAGTCTTTTCTTTCTGAATTAACGCTAGTCAGTGCTTAATATGTCTTGTGAGGTCTGGAACAACACTGATAGGCAAACCCAGTTAGTTCTGATCTGCTTCTAGAAATGCCCAGAAAAAGAACACGGTGATGAATTAGTGTCAGTCATTCTGAAAACCAGCACTGAGTTCTGTTCTGTATCTTCTCTTCCAAAACACCGCATTCAGTAATAAACTCGAAGAAATCAGTAAATTCGCACCACCTAAACAACAACACTAATCCAATGGATATTGAACTGATATCGAAATTCGATTAGGCCGTTACGATGGTCCGCAAGTTAAAGTTTCACGAACGGAAACTACTGAAAAAATTTGACTTCATTAATTGGGAATGTGACAATAATTTACACGAAGTGAAAATAATTAAACGATTTCATATTCAGAAAAGGGAAGACTACACCTTGTAAGTTAAGACAGCTATATATATATATATATATATATATATATATATATATATATACTTGTACGGCCAACTTTATATATAAATGAGTAAATGGAATTAGCAGTAGTCATTTATTCCCTTGTAACTAACAAACCACATAATTTTGCAATTTCCGATTTCTTGAGTTCATTTTATTCCTTTAGAGTCACTCCCAGCACTGCAGTGCCATGGCTGTCCGTTGGTGATTAGCTGCCGGTGCCTAAATTTTAACAGTCTGATGTGTTTATGCCTGAGATGTAGGCTTTACTAACATAACTAACTTATTGTGCTTGGAAGCTGGTGGTCCTACTCGGTTGTTCTGACTGTAGTGTAAAGCGAGATTCGTACGTTGAACCCATTGGCTAAAAGTTGAGGGTTTGATTCAGTGACTTACTTTTCTGCCTCAGTACATCCATATCCACTTCGACCCATCGCTTGCCGTGCTATTGGTATCTGCGAAACGGTAAAACTGATAAGCATCCTGTGTGTCTGAGCATGATCTTTTATAATGGATTTCCGGGAAAAATAGCGACAGAATTCAGCTACCTAAAAGACTTTTCATGTTTCAAAATATCACAGTTCTTGTGTTGGAGGTAGTCCTGTCCAATTTTCCATGCTTGTTTAAGTACGGCTACCTGGAAAGTATTTTAACTCATTCACTGAGCTTCTGTCTGTGTAACAATCTAGATATTATTCGAGTACCTCAATGGTGCCACAAGTGTGTGTAACTCAGAAACTTGAGGATTGTATTCATATCTTTATTTCATATGTTGATGTCAAAAAGCTACTGCAATCACCTTACGATGACCTTTTTAAGGTGACACCGGATGTCATATTATTATTATTATTATTAATTTTGATTAACCTGCTATTAAAAGTCGTATTATTTACTTTTGTAATACTGATATGGGCCCCGTGAACCCGAAAATATTATCTTTTGTTTCTACTTAGGGTATTGTTTTTGATAATAAACAAAAATCAGTAGTCTTGCAGTTCAGTTTTTTGACTTTTGGAATCCTCGTAAGAGTAAAAGACTATTTTATTAGTTGTTTACTCAAATCTTATTCCTTGTAATATATATATATATATATCCTTCACGTTCCCAGTGGAACATAGGGCCTCAAGCTAGTGGCTTGAAGTTTCTTGTAGCAGTGTTTAATTTTACAGAATGAGGTTGCCAGCCTCATGCCCACCTTTCCTCCTTACCAGCATCATTTCTGGCCTAGCGAGGTAAAGGAGTGAGTCGACTGAGGATCAAACCCCGGACCATTTTCATGGTCGACGAGTGTCCCAACCGCTGTGCCACGGACGCTATATATATATATATATATATATATATATATATATATATATATATATATATATATATATAAATGCCTGCATACTGGTGCTGCCTAGAGTCTCTATGGTTGCTTCGATTCTGTATTCATTTTTGTGATTGGCTGATTGATATGTTACCTATTACCTTAAATTTAACTCCAGGGTTAGTACGTGACTTTAAGACATGTTTGAATTGTAGTACATCTCATTGAGGTTAGTCTGAAATTCCGACATCTAAGCATTTCTTCTTTTAAACTTCAGTCAGTCAGTGCTAGGGCCAAGACAGCAACAGGTATCACTGATGATGATATAACGTTATAAGAGGCTACGGACTGCTGTGGAGTAAGTCAGGCTATACAGTTTTGGTAAACAATTTCTTTCAAAATCCTCTTCATATTAGGAAGGTAATGTAGGCCAGTCACTTGAAAGAAAGACTTAATTGTTGTTGCACGCCTCCACTAGCAATACGACTTTATCCTCAGGTACTCATCACTGTGTAAACAATTTCACTATAAAGATGTCTATTTTTGTTTTACCACTATTAAATCGACTTAATGTATAACTCCTTAAGTCATTGTGATATGCAAGACCGATAACCAGGTCAAGACATGAATCAGTTATGGCTAATTAGTCACCATAACACATTTAAATTCTCTCCCTCCAGCGAAGGCACGAATCGTAACAATGTAGTATAGCTCGGTATAGTTGATGAAAGTGTGTGACAAGCGAAATGTATTGTTAGTTGTATGTACTTAGCATATACACAGAGCCCTAGAACTACATGCATGGCATAATAATTGAAGTTCAAACTTAGGTTAGGATAGTATTTGGACTAAATATGTCTACGCTCAGTTTGCGTAATTCTAGGCTGGTAAGTTAGGCTGTACTTAAACCTCATAATTTATTTAGACTGTAAGCAGATGATGAGAAGCCAACGAAATAAATGATGGTACCACATTATTCTGCTAAAACTGTAGTTTTTGCTTTGTTCAAATTCATTAAGGGGAATAAATGTATGAAGTTAGGAGTTGCTTGTTTAAATCTCGCTGACATTAAACCATTTCTATTTAGGTATTCTTAACCTTATGGAAACCTTTTCTCATAATACCGGAGTTAAGAGGATGACGAACCTTATGCAGTACCTAAGCTGTTAACCTTATTGTAGTAAATAATCTCACTGTTGTCTAGATATATTTTTGTTGCCAACATCTACTTGCTTCGGATCCTGTTAATAAATGTAGTTATTGACATGGTGACTGAATTAGTTCAAATAATTCTTTCAGGGTTTTTCCTTAATTTTACTATTTATTACATGTATCAGTGAAATGCCAGATAGGTTTAGGTAAACAGCTATAATTGGCAAAGTTTTATTATCACTCTTTCTTATTAAGACCTTCTTAAAATAATAATAGAAATAATGTTTCAAGTGTGTTAGATATCTCATATCTCTTCAAAGTTTTTATTTTTCTTTATCATTTTAGGTATAACAAACTCTCACGAAAAATAAGAGACATTGCTGAGAAGCTCAAAGACATAGATGAAAACGACCCATGGAGAACAGAAATGACTGCACTCTTAACAGCTAAACTGTACGTTGCTACTTTTAAGTGTAATATTTATAAAGGCACAACTTAGGTTTAATACCAACAAAAAGAAGTCTTATGCTAGCTTCAAAAGTTAATGCCTCTTCATTTTGTCGAAGAAGGCTTCCTGTAATTCTGATGCGTTCGAAAATGGCAGAAACTATGAAAGCGGCTGTGACGTTTGTTGAACAGGGACACGTCCGTGTGGGACCAGATATTATTCGGGATCCAGCATACCTAGTTACAAGGTGTGTTAGTAAAGTAATGCTTTTATTATGCTTTAAGTTTATGGGTATGAATATGTCGTTCAAATATGCATTCAATTCGTGCAGTTTGTGTTAATTTGGAGAATTATTTGTGGAGACAACCATGTACCCCAATCTGGTACTATGCTCAGAATTTTAGGTCTCTAAAACAAGTTTTGAAGATTTAATTCACAACATCTGAAATACTTCACAAAACAACATTTCATTCCTTTGATAATTTTTATCAGAAATAAAAGAAACAGATATGTTGTATAAAATGATATCATTTCACCTCACTCATCCGCGTTATTTATAATCACTGCGAAATATACAAGTGTCATAAGAGTCCTGAAGTCCAAAAATATACTTCATTCTTGACCACAAATCGATATCAGTTAGAGAACCATTAAAAAAGGGTGTAGTTGGCAGTTGTTTCGTTCTAGTGGGAAACTCATCGGTGATATGTACCCATCGGGTTTTGAACCCAGGACCTTCCAGTTACAAGTCAAACTCATAGACCATTCAGCCACTGGGACGGAACTCAATGGCCCATGAATTCTAATTCCTACCAACCCGTGATTTTAGCGCGACTGGCACCAGCCTGTGTCATCGGCGAATATTTGTCCTCACTCCCGACAGGCTGGACTCCACTGGTCACAACTTCTCACTAAATCTCCAGGACACTCCGTCCTTTGGCCAGTCAGTAGCAAGCGTACTGCCGATAAATCCCAAAATAAAACGAAACAGCTGTCCAGTACTCCCTAGTTTTCAATGGTTCTCTAGTTGATATCTGTCCGAAGTCAGCCTTGAAAAACCAATCAAATTCCTACAAACCAACTCTCAAAAATATACTTCATACTTACTGAAAAAGCCCTTAAGTTCAGTGATAATAAAATACTAGGTAGAAATCACAGATTACAAAATCGGTCACAGTTTGTAATTGATTAGGAAAAGTTGTCAAGAGTACAGGTCGCCTAATCGAAGAAATGTAACGTGGTGAATAAACTCCATATCATATACTATCCTATTTGGCTTTTTTCTTTTCTGTCATATTTTTGCAAAAATATCTGGATAATTGAAATATAAACTAATTAGCAGAAAACGAATCATCAGCAAAGGGTAACTCAGAAGATCATCAGGCGGTCAGTGAACGCTTACCAACAAGTTTAGGGTTGTGCTTATGTTCTCTGGAACATCATCGCACAATGCTACCTAAAGGGGGGGAGAAGTGAGGAAGAGAGAAACGATCAATTTATCAAATAGCTTCATAATGTGGTGGTGTGTTTTTGAGCAGGGATTTTCCGGTACATTATAACTCCATGATCGAGAGCCCAGCAACTTAGAGATTAGTTGCCTTGCATCTTCATGAGGTGCAACTCAGTGATATGAATATTGACTGCCTTTCTGTGGTTTCCCTGTTTTCCTCTTTCCAACAGTAATAGGAAAGTAATGAAAACTTCCGGATACACTCAGTGTGAATCTGTCGCTGTTTTTTTCATTATAATTACACTTTATTTATTTCTTAATGTTTTTTGTTTAGTTCATTTTTCGATGTCATTGACTTGGGTTTTCCAACCAGTTATTTGCTGGTTCAACCGGTCTACACTTACCTAGGCTTGGTTACCGATATGTTATCCCCATCTCAAACACAGTAGACGTAACTAATTACCTAATGTGTACTTAACTGTCACGTCACGCGTATTGTTTGAATGAATATTTTGTAATGGTTCGCTATATGTGGAAAAGGAAATGATTGCTTCCTTAGTTTTCTAATGTTTCGCTTATCATTAGATTCTCAGTACGTTGAATCCTTGGGATTTCTCTAAGTTCAGTTCTTTTTACATATATTTAAGCATTTACATAGCCCTCCCTGCTTCAAGTCAACTTTTGTTTCCAAGTCGAACTAGTGATTAGTGAAAGTTGGCGTTTCTTTTCATCAAGCAAGTAAATAATATTGAGAAAATGTTTTTTTTTTAAATATAAATTGTTTTCCTCATATCTCAGAGTTTATTTGAAATTACCTAACAAAAGAGTAACTGATTCCCACCCCCGTAGTACTAAGAGTTTTGAATCTCATTTATTTTGATGGTATATATTTATTGTTTTCCTTTTGCCATGTCAGGAAAAAACAAAGGATACATCTAAATTTAGTGTATTATTAGTTATTTGAAATGAGACAGAGACTTATGAATATAAAAATCTGTCGGTTGTATTGTTCATTGGGTTAATTAAATCTTAGTGTTCGTGTTCATATATGACCTGTATTGTCATGTAAAAACAGAGGTGACATACTAACTACTCTTCAGTCTTTCTTTATTTTCATGGCTGCTATTGACTTGCAATTACATACTACTTAAGTATTTGAAAATGAGCAAATACATGAATTTTCATCGAGTAAATTCAAGTAATTTATAACTCAATATACAGTGGTTATAGTTTTATTTTCACATTCACGCCATTTGTAAAATTGTTTTTTTTAATTGTTGATATGCCAAATAACAAAGTTTAATATCGTAATGCTAACGTTTGATTTCGTATTTATATTTCAAAATAAATTACCAGGTCTATGGAAGATTATATAACATGGGCCTCTCGATCTAAAATACGGAAACAGATTGAAGAATATAATGGAATAAGAGATGACTATGACGATGTTTAACATTGGTTAATCAACGCTGTACATATTTTATCAGATTTGTACATTTCAAGTTTTTGAAAATAATAACTCCAATACGTTTGGACTTTTAATACACATAGAAAATTAGAAATAAGTTTCCTAATGTCACTCATATTTTATTGGATAAAAATAATTTTTGGTGCTGTTATTCCTCTAAATCTAGCACGCAAGCATACTGTACTTCCGGAAGAGAATAATGTATTTTTACTGCTTGATATACGTGATCCCTAAATATGTTATGCTTATGCGTACTCAGTAATCACAGTTTGTGTACATCCCTTACTTCAAGCGCCAAAAAAGTATCAAACAACTACAGCATGCGAGTTTTATGATAATTGTGTAACTCATGTTTCCTATATCTGTCTCTTAGGATAAAGGTTAGGCCTTAACTACGCTGTCGATTACTACCAACACTGTTGGTCAAATGTTGATATCCCTCCACATTACAGGTGTGTCCAACAATCTTAGACATAGGTGGTACCATAAGGAAATAGTATTCTTAGCTGCTTTACATTAATCTCGTATGTACATCAGTAAGCCCATGGTCACTAACACTATTTTTTTGTCACTTTGTTACTGTTCCGGTGATTTTACTAAGGTAAGAAATAATCCAGTGACGAGGTGAACCACCTGTACCCACTCCTGTTGCTGACCTAACGTTTGCTCGTTGGTGACCTTTTGTTACTTCATGTATGCGTGTTTTCTCATTTCCACTGTGATTTCTAATTAATGAGTTCGCTCTGTAAAACGTTGGTCACTAAGTTACTAAATACTTTTTAGTTTGTCTTTAATCACAGTAATAGTTAAGAAGTTACCGAGTTTCCCTTTCTATGCAAACTAACTTATTAGGGTAATCAAATCAAGAATTGAGAGAACCTTTTCCTTTTGATCTTATTCACAACAAGTTGTGTAGACTAATTAGAACACAACTAAGGCTTGCGAGAGGTGTTGATCACTTTCAAGTCAAACAGTCGATAATGTATCCGTCTCAGAATTTGATCGAAATCAGGATGAAACAACTGTCCAGTACTTCCTGCTTTTCAATGGTTCTCTAACTGAAATCAATACGTGGTCAAACTCGTATAAACAAATCTAATCCTTACAAACCAACTCTTGAAATCAGGTCGACACACTTTCGTTTGGGATTAAAACCTGACCAGTTTCTTAGTCTTCTGGTTTGGGAAAACTAATTCAATGGTGAATAACTACAGGGCTCATTATCATAGATGCTAGTCAATCCTTACTACCTCGTTTTGTTTTCAGTTTGGATCAATTCCAACTTCGTTATAGACTTAAAAGATAATGACAGTGGATTTCAGGTAAGAAAAATTTACAATGTCAATTAAGGAACTATCAACGTTTCGAATTGTCTTAGACTGTATTTTTGATAGTAGTTTATTTAGTAGTCCGATGTCTGTTGATCAGCGTTACTGAGGTTTCTGTCACTTTAAAATATTACTGCTTAGCCTAATCACAATGGAAGCCAACAATATGTGTGCTTCTTTTGTCAATGTCCAGACATTCAGTTTCACTGCTTTAGAAGCAGGACAATTACCATACCAGAGTACGTCGAATCGAGGCCTAGTGATTTATTAACTTATACCTAGAGATACACGTGTTTCTAGGTGCAACCACTCATTAACATCGTGTTTCCATCCAGCTAAGAACTCAAAGTTCCAGTAGGTACTCCAAAATGTGCAGGAATCTTCCTAAAGTGAGTCATAGAGGCACGATCTTTATCCACCGCTGTTGGTAGCTATGTAACACACTGTTTCTGAAGCTAGTGTTAAGGATGATCGAGGGATCTTTGGCAAGTAACTGAAGTAAACGATCACGGTTATGAGGACGGAACACCATAGACACCTAATGGCATTTACATCATAATCGCCAAGCGACACTGTTATACTGTCAAGCAAAGGCGAAATTCTTTCATATCTCTAAGAATACAGTTAGTGGGTCTGCATGTTGAGATTGTGAACAGAGACCATTCTTTTTTACCGTTTATTCGACTGCACGTCGTACAACGAGTTCAAATGGAGTGATAAGTTTCCATTTTTTAGTAATTAACGCTATACCAAAAGCACGCCGCATCATTAGGCAGACTTTGTGAACTCTCTTCTACGTTCATATCATTACAAAACGAACCAAATATACTAGTCACTTACAGGATCTAGGCTTCTTGTTATTTCTACCATACTTTAATCAATATGATAGCCTCAAAGTCAAAAAAAGGAAATATGTGTCACTATTCTTGTTTATGAAAAGTAATACAGCGTTTTCAGACAACCAGAACGGTAGAATATTTCACTGGTGAGTTATAAACTTCATTTCTTCTTAATGACTCATTGGACTACTCCGTTAATATAGACTGAAATGTAGCAAACACTTCGAAAGTCTTATATCTGCTTTCATATCTTGATCAGTACCACCAGAGCATTCTCACAAATCTTGGATAGAAACACAAAGGCTGTTAATGAAAGAACGCCTTCAAGACATATACAAGGAAACGGAATGTCACTTCTAAGGTAGAGCAATGAAGAATTAGCCTTTACGATACTTTCACTACTAAATATTATAGTGTGTATCTAAAGCAGTGTATTCTTGTACAACCCAGTCCAAAAAACTATACTGCTATATGCGTCTGACCAGGAGGAGGCGTACCTAGTATTTGTAATGGGAACAGGCCAGACAAGAGGAAACTGAAAACCTAGACTGTCACTTCAGTAAGGTATTTCTGATTGGCATCAATAGAGATTTTAAATGATATCGCTGCTGACGTCTGTCGAAAATTCTTTGGTTCGGCAGAATTTTCACAAATCTCAAGACCGGTAAGTAACAGGATAACACCAAAAATAATTACTAGCTTTAGCTGGTTTAACTCATAAGCAGCATACGAAGACACATATTATGCTTCTGCCGCAGGTTTCGTTACATATGAGGTGGAAAATGTCGTGGTTTGTTGCGTCCTATCAATTCGAAAGGTGTCCAACTACTACCGTTATTTTGGACTATGCAATTCTGATTAAGTAATAACGGTCAAATTGCTGAGTTACAAGGGAATGACTTTTGGGTACAAAAGTAGAACGTCTCAAGGCCCGTACCCTCATGTTTAACGAACTTACTTTTAGCCAGCTGATGGCTGCGTGCGCTACATTACTATTTGACGTGATATTTATAGATTTCTGCATCCAGTGGAGCATCTCACTTAAAATAAGAACAAAGAGGTCAGAAAGAAACATTTTCCAGTGAATCCCGTGTTTCGCACTTAATCTTACTGGATAAGATTATTTATTCAAACCGACTTATTTACTGACCGAGCAGTGTGAACTTACTCGAGTCTGAACCTTGGGTACCACACACCAGTGCTTGTGTGAATAGAAATACAAACATATCAAGTTGGAAGGATGAGGTAGGTAATAGGTTAATGGGGAGGACCTCACAGCTTTCCTACGAAAAGATGGAGTTTATGGTGTCGTAGAACTGGTATCTGATCTTCGTATTGCTTCTAAGACTAATTGCCTAGAAGGTGCAGAAGCCCCGATCGAAAGAACAACCACTACATCTTGAGTTCGCCAACAGGAGAGTCAATAAAAGCAACAACTAATGGCAGGTCAATTAAGAAATGCTTCAAAGGAGAAGCTGAAATTTCAAAGGAATATATCTCATCAGCATCAACAGTCAACTTAGTTTATTATCTAAAACATGAGAAATGAAAATAAGGCAGCAACAGTTCCCCCTCCCCCTATAAATTTAAGGCCAAATAGATGTAAATATTATGACCTGCAATCTACTGACTATATCTAGCACCATTATAAGTCAAACACACCTACTGTGGCTTACGAGGCGTTTCCAACAGCTAAATTTAGCACACTACATGTTCACAAATGTCACGTATTTTATAGGTTAAAACGTAGGCAAATTTGATGGTCAGTAAGTAAATATTGAAAATAATAGTTGGATTTAGGGACAATGAAAGTTATCCGAGGTTTTCGCACACAATTTGAACTATGCGGGACAGAATTATCACTGATCTACCTGGCAACGTCGAGCGGTGATCATGGTGTAGGTGAATTTTAGCATGAACCAAGTAACGGGAGCAACTTAGGTAGAAGATATAACGAGACCCGCGTGTTAGCTATTTATACGCCAATTATGGGGTTTATGAACTCAGTTTGGGTCTAGGCTGAAGTATCAATAGTATTTCTATTATTTTTTAAAATTCTGATTTCAGCTTGATTCCACACCGTATTTTTGGCACAAGTATGAAATTTTCAGCATGTGATATCGGTAGCTCAAATTTTGCAGGCCGACCATAGATATCAGGTGTGCGTCGGCAAAAGATCGAACCCCGGATCATGTGCATGGTCGGCGAGAGTCCTAACCGCTGTGCCACCGCGGTCACTCCCAGGCTATTTTAATTTTATTAGATAAGCTCAGTTGAAAAAATCAGGCAGCACTTTTGCGAAGAGAGCTTAGAGCATACTGCAAAAAGTACGTGAGCAGAGAAGTAAGAAATCTCCAAAGTAGGAATATGAGGCGCATCTATTCAAAGACGCCTAGCACGAAGGACTTCAATATACATCATTAGGACTACGCATTCTCAATGTCCTTGAGTTATGTTTACTCAGTATAACTGCGGCTGATAAGTCTAGAGCTCAACTTCAAACCACTATGTCACAGGTGGGAGCCCTGCCCTATTAACCGAGGTCTGGGTAGTCAGACAGTAACATTCATGTTGTATATGTGGCTCATTGCAGACAGTATGAAAATGTGAGTTTTCGGGTAATACTTAAGCAATCTTGAAACGAGTGCACTCTTTCCGTTCGTTGCTCAATTGCACCACCACAGAAATCCAGATAAGATAACCTATATCAGTTCTTCAGCTACGTCAAAAAAGGAAGCTCCTTGCTAGTATTACAATATGTCTAAGAGTAAAGTAAGGACGTTAGACTGTTGGAAAAGGAAGCTGGCTTATGATTATAATGAGGAACGCTGAATAGCGGTCAAAAATGCGTTCTAAAAGGCGGATATAAAGAAGACAATGCAGAGAAAATGACAGATTTTAGAAGTATTTCCGGCTAGGAATAACAGACGAAACTTACACAGAAGTTTAGCACTTTCATCTAAAATCAATTGTACCGAAGATGACTTTGAATTGCTCCTGATTTAGCTTAAGTTATGAAACTGTGCATATCTCTGTGCCTATTTATTCAATATGAATAGAGCTATATTAATTTGATCGTTTTTCAATGAATTCATATACATATATACTTTCGCAGTATCATAACGAAGTGAATTTAAATAGTAAACCTTGTCTAGAGAAAGAAATACGCCCATTTTATCATACAGGTGTGTAGTTATTTATGGAACAAATAGGGGATAGAACTACTTTGACTGCAATTCCCATTGTGAAGGTGTCAGTGTTTTTAAAGTAAGGGCATGTATCGACTTCATTTCATCATCCAGTTGTTTATGGACAAGTCTAAAGAATAAAATCCTATACTGTAACAACAAACCTATGCCTTTCTACAAGGGATTTGCCTTCGAATTCTTTAGACACAATGTTGATGTTGAATTTCAAGCCACATCCATCTGAAAAATCAACCACATCCTAAAAGCTGATTCAGGTAATAAATATCAACATACCAAATGAACTGGATTTAGTGAACCAAGCTTTTCTTCAATAATGCTCTGCATGACCTTGCCCGTAACGGAGATTTGGGATTACCCGGAATCTAATAAGTTAGGCAAATAATAAGAAATTCGGGAAGTATGTAATCGTTTGGCTAATTTGATTTCAGAACGATGTTGAAGTAAAGAGAAAAACAAGGATCGTCTAGGTGAACGAGACTTATGACCTTGAAATGAGCATTTGCAGTGTTATCAGTTAGAACAATTATAATTTTCTTCATGAGTGATCTTGGTCCCAAGGTCATTCGTAAACCCTCAATTCCTAAAACCATTCAGCTCGCACCATACTGGCCAGATAATGCTGAAACGTGGTTTCAGATAGCTGAGTCTAACTTATGTGAGCATGGGATAACCGATCAACATTCACAGTTCCTTGAAGTTATTCACACCCTACCGAGGGAATTCAGCAAGTACGCAACTTTTCAGATTTCGAGTCCAATATCCAATATCGTTTTTACGAGCTAGTATAAACCAATTTGATTTCTTTGTGCTCGCCTCTTGATTGTGAGGTATAGGTTCTTGATCTTCGGTAAACTTCTGCGTAGCTTGTCCCGCCACTCGACTGTCGTAGCTTTGGTTGACTCCAAAGGGAGTAGTGCTGGGATTAATTATATGTGGTTTGTAGTATGAGGTATGTTAAGACTGTTACTACTGTGATTGGAGTTGATCCTTTCGCCAGTTAGTCCTTCGGTATTGTCGACAAGAGAAAAGAGATAGTAATAATAATAATAGTAATAATAATAATAATAGATATAATTAGTGAAGCTATTCAGACTAAGAGACAGAAACGAAAATAGGAAACGTAACAACAGTCAGCTCATGAAGTTTGAAGAATAATATATATATCGGTAATAGTAATAATAATAATAGTAATTATAATATTAATAAGTTGTCAGGAGAGTAAGACGGGAGAGAATGTAAAGAAGTAAAATGACGAGTTTAATTATCTACCCTGATTGGTAAATGCGATTTTAAGGAGATAGGCCATTTGGATGCAGTCCTTGTATCGCTGCATGGTTGTCCAGCCTTCGCTTAAAGGCGTCCAAAGACGGTGCCATAGCTACATCTGCCGGTAAGGAATTCCAGGGACGACAAACCCGCAGTGAAAAGAAGTGGGAGCGCACCCGGGTCCTTGCCCTCTGGTGAGCTATCCTTCTGGGATTTCCACGTGGAAGCCTATACCTACTCAATGGCAGAACACCTTTGTTTGGGTGATTCTGGTCATTTGTTATTTTGTAGGCAGTAATCAAATCCCCCCTAAGCCGACGGTAACTAAGTGTGAACAGGCCTAATTTCTTCAGCCTTTCATCATATGGTTTGTTTCGGAGACCAACCACTCCTTTTGTTGCCCGTCGTTGGACTCTTTCCAAGAGGTTGGCATCTCTTCTCAGCATTGGGGGTGCAATAATATTATGCACCTCAAGGTGTGGCCTGACGTATGTTTTGTACAACATTAGAAAGAGCTCAGGAGTGAGTGCACCTAACTGTCTATGCGTAAAGTGTATGACCGCATATGCCCTCGCTACATCCCCTGTGTAATTTACGCTTGTGTCCATTTTTTCCGTTAGAACTAGACCTAAGTCGCGTTCCGACGTTGTGCAGGACAAGCTTTCATTGCACAGGGTGTAACTTGCATTCTGCAGTCTACAGGTGCGCAACTTCACTACTTTGCACTTTTTCAAGTTGAAAGTCATGCCACTGGCCACCGCCCAGTCTTCCAGAAGGTTTAGGTCTTCCTGTAGCCTATCTGAGTCCTCCGGACACTTTATCGCCCTCCATATTTTTACGTCGTCAGCGTACAGGAGAGTCGGGCAGCTCAGACGGCGTGGTAGATCATTGATGAAAATCAAAAACATCAGTGGTCCTAGGATAGAACCCTGCGACACTCCTGATGACGATCTGTGCCAAGATGATCGGACTCGGTTAACCTTAGTGCAAAATTGCCTGTCGGCTAGGTAGTCCTTCAACCATGACAGAAGTGGCTCACCTATGCCTGCCTGTCTTATTTTATGTAGGAGAAGGTCATGGTGAACAGTGTCAAATGCCTTCTCAAAGTCTAGGAAGACCACATGGACTGGTACGTTCAAGTCCCAGCATGATGTCCAGTCGTCCCAAGCTGACAGTAGGTTAGTGACGCAGGATCTGCCTTTTCTGAAACCATGTTGGGCTTCATGCAGTATATTAGTCCTATCGAAATATTCCCTGATGTGGTCGTCAATAATACTTTCCAGTACTTTTGATACCACTGGGAGTAGAGCTACTGGTCTATAGCTAGCAGCGTTTTGCCTGTCCCCACCCTTGAAGATTGGAGAAAGGATGGCTCTTTTCCACTCCCTTGGCAGGGTCCCCGAATCCATTGAGTGTTGGAACAAGTCGCACAGGGGTCTACAGAGAGCCTCGGCGCACTGTTTCAGAACAGATGGCCTGATGTCATCACAACCTGGGGACTTCCCAGGTATGAGTCGCTGTAGCTTCCTTAGTACTATTGCGGGGTTTATTTGGGGAGTAGTCGCTAGGTCTTCCTCCTCTGAAATAGTGGTGCCACCATTTTGGTCCGTAACTGTAATATCCACATTGCTGTTTAGCTGTTTAGCGAAGGCTGAACTGAATGTTTCAGCCATCTCCAGACTAGTGAGATATTGACCGTTTGGGCCTACTAAGGCGCATGCCCCTTGGTTTGTCGGTTTTCTTTCCGACATGAATCGGTACAAGTTTTTAGGGTTTGATAGGAGTTTTTTAGCAAGGTTAGCCTGGAATGACCTTCTGTCCCTCCTAACTCTTGCATTACACCGGTTCCTGAGTTCGAGGTATGCATCATGGTCGGTCTGACTCTTAGATACACGCCACGTAAACCAAGCCCTCCGCTTTGCTTGCAGAATACGTTGCGTGCCTCTCTTCAACCATGACGTCTTTCTCTTAGGCTGTGTTGTGACTAAAGGGACGGTATCCGAGATTGCTGTATGGATAATCTTTTTTACCACTTCCCAGTGTTCATCCACAGATAGGTCGTCCCATGCTAAGGGCCAGTCTGCGTCGGACAAGAGCCTCCGCATTTCAGCATAGTCAGCCTTGCTGTAGCACAGACATGGTCGCGTAACATCCCATTGCAAACGCTCACGGAGGACAAGATCGAAACCTATGACTGCATGGTCACTGCTTCCCAGAGGAGTCATGATCTGGACCTTTTCGACGAGTAGCTGGTCACTAGTTAGAATATAATCTAGTTTTGATGACTTTCCACTAGGGCCCCACCTAGTGTCGTCTCCAACATTCTCAGTCAGTCCCGTGTTTCGAATAGTTTGCAGTAGGTTTCGGCCAAATTTTCCCTTAGCACACCCGGAGCCAAGGTTCAGTGATGGAGCATTGAAATCTCCAGCTATGGTGATTTGGTCGTAGCCCAAATCTCGTATTCCTGTGATAGTGCTGAGCAGTAGCTGATTGTGCTCTGCCCCACAGGTGGGAGATCGGTAGATGCCACCCAGTAAGTGCTTGGTGTGGCCTACGGTGAAATGACACCATATGGAGTCTGGGAGTTCGATAAGTGGTGGGTCCGTTGCGCGCACACATTTAAGTTGCCTATCAAAGTATATAGCAACTCCCCCTCCTTCCTTATTATCCCTGTCTCTCCTGACCAGTACCATATCACCTATACTGATTTCATTGTCGGCGATAGTGGGGTTTAGCCACGTTTCAGTGAGAATGATTATTTTCAGTTGAAGGTGCGCTTGGAGATTTCGAAGTTCACCTACTTTCCCTCTCAGCCCCCTCACATTGCTATATAGGCAACTGACAGTGAGTCTAACAACCTCAGAGTGTTGTGGGGTAGTTGACGTGAAACCGTCTGCTGGTGGGGGACTTGATGTTGGAACTAGTTGGCCGATTCCGATAGAACCGGCCCGTTGTAGTTTTTTTCAATGGATTTAGGCAGGACACTTGGGAGACACAGACTATTATTCTCAGAGCTGCATCGCTCTAGTGTCACCGAAGCTTGGGGTCGTATTAAAGCCTCAGTTTGCTGCCTCCTTATATTTCTGGGTCTGCTTTCACAGCATCGGATGTGTCCTCCAATTTTTCCCTTGGTCTCATACCACCGTCGAAGCTATATTAATTTGATCGTTTTTCAATGAATTCATATACATATATACTTTCGCAGTATCATAACGAAGTGAATTTAAATAGTAAACCTTGTCTAGAGAAAGAAATACGCCCATTTTATCATACAGGTGTGTAGTTATTTATGGAACAAATAGGGGATAGAACTACTTTGACTGCAATTCCCATTGTGAAGGTGTCAGTGTTTTTAAAGTAAGGGCATGTATCGACTTCATTTCATCATCCAGTTGTTTATGGACAAGTCTAAAGAATAAAATCCTATACTGTAACAACAAACCTATGCCTTTCTACAAGGGATTTGCCTTCGAATTCTTTAGACACAATGTTGATGTTGAATTTCAAGCCACATCCATCTGAAAAATCAACCACATCCTAAAAGCTGATTCAGGTAATAAATATCAACATACCAAATGAACTGGATTTAGTGAACCAAGCTTTTCTTCAATAATGCTCTGCATGACCTTGCCCGTAACGGAGATTTGGGATTACCCGGAATCTAATAAGTTAGGCAAATAATAAGAAATTCGGGAAGTATGTAATCGTTTGGCTAATTTGATTTCAGAACGATGTTGAAGTAAAGAGAAAAACAAGGATCGTCTAGGTGAACGAGACTTATGACCTTGAAATGAGCATTTGCAGTGTTATCAGTTAGAACAATTATAATTTTCTTCATGAGTGATCTTGGTCCCAAGGTCATTCGTAAACCCTCAATTCCTAAAACCATTCAGCTCGCACCATACTGGCCAGATAATGCTGAAACGTGGTTTCAGATAGCTGAGTCTAACTTGTGTGAGCATGGGATAACCGATCAACATTCACAGTTCCTTGAAGTTATTCACACCCTACCGAGGGAATTCAGCAAGTACGCAACTTTTCAGATTTCGAGTCCCTAGGTAAGTAACTCGTAAAAGTCGCTCAAATTATCTCTCTTCAGGAGAAACGTTCTCACGGCCCGACAACGTCTGGATGAATTATATGGTAACATCGAGTTAGGATATCAGTCAGCCGTGAGCAAGCTGACAAGAATGAAAGAGGTTATTGGCCAAAGTCAGTTCGATGAAAGACTTTTTAGAGAACTCTTTTTATTCAAGCTGCCACAGTCCGTGCAGATTGTACCTGTGACACGTCAGGGTGTTATTATAGATGACTTAGCTATTTCTGAATATAAGATTCTAGAAACAACTAAACGGTCA